CCACTTTTTTTTAAAATCAGATACAACAAGACCCGCAACTATTCATCACAAGTACAAAATGGTTGCTTTCTGAATCTGATTAGGGTGCCGGCGCCGAACGCATGAATCGCCAAGATGTGATTGGTTGGTCACTCCCGGATGTCGTTACAGTGCTGTACCCTGTCTCGTGAATAATCAGGAAAATCTTTTATCCCCTCACTATCCCCAAAAAATAGACCTCAAAAAGCGACGTCCCTTTACATTTGTGTCGAAATCAAAGGCCTGAAAGCTGATTCATTAAAGCAATGATCCTGCCCTATCTAACTTTTCCGGATGGACATGCTGTTACCTTCAAAAGTATTTTGCAATGTTAGATCTCAAATCCTTTGTTGTCAAGACTGCAAAGTCTTTATAAAGTACAGAATTTAAAAGCAAAGCAGCCAAGGAAAGCCCCTTTAATTAACCTTTCAACAGATGCCCAAACGCAAATAACTACAGGCTAAAGTCCCCTAGCAGAATGGGTTAGAACCGGTTGTTGTTTATTTAATGTCAAACTACATCTTACCAGTGAGGGGGCGGAGTAATCAAATAACTTCAATTTATGAACGGGTGAGACAATTGTAAGTGCAGTGGGTGTATTTTATTTACGAGTAAATACAAATTGTTTACTTATTAGCTCCATCGGGGAACCGCCTTAAAGTAAATTCCACGTGTCAGAGATTGCGAGAAAATGCGCAGAATTGCAATTGTTTCGGTGATGCGCATCAATGTCAGAGATCCGTGCAGATCCCTGCAATCTCATTGGTGCATAGACCCCAATCGATTTTACGCTGGTTATCCATCAACCAATGAGATCGACCCTACCACTAATTGACAAATTATTTGCACTAATTTCCTAGAATTTTTGAAACCGTCGAGAATGCAGTAGGGTTAACTTTCTCAAAATTTATGTAGGAAGGTCATCTCGTACACTGAAAGCCGAAAAAAGCACTTGTACAACCAATCTTGAGATTCAGTTAAAAAGACCCAAAAAATAACTGTAAAAACATTGAGCTTTTACTATACACAGTTCCATGGGAAGCGAAATTTTCATTTACGGAGAAATTTTTCTACCACATTTCGTCCAAATTTAGGATAAAAAAATCCAACCCGATTTCGGTTTCTTTTAGAAGTTCACTCAGAGGAGTGAATCTCTTCAGATGGCACACAAATGTGACACCTCTTCCTAGCAGTAAAAGATTACATTTTTGTACCTCCATTAGTCGTGCACCTCGTTTTGGCGTTACGGCGTCCCTCGACGTGGCATTTCACTGGTTAATTTGCTTACCCCCTCCCCCCCCCCCCATCTACGAATGACGAAGAGGCCTCGAAGTCGCACGACTCCATGACAGTAGACTAGGCGTGTTTTCCTCTACAAACTTCTTCATGTCTCAATTTTAATTATGGAGGTTAGAGACTTATCATGTGGGGAAAAAAAAGCACGCCTCTCCTATTTCATTCCTTCTCACGGTGTAGAGTTTCGTTTCAAACAGATTAATTTGGACGCAAGTGCACCAAATACTTCACTTGTCAAATGGAAGCATACGAATTCCTCCCTTGGTAAAAAACTTCTGGATAATTTACCGAAAATTAAAATAATTTTTCGGTCAAATAATTTTAAAACAGGTAACTCTCCACCGCCTCCTTTCTGATCGGTGATTGGTTAATTAATAGCATGAAAACAAACTAAAAAAAAAAACAGCTAAATCGACTTTAGGCCGAAAGTAATATTTTAATTCGGTAATTGGTGGAACATAAGGTAAAAATTTGCCACCTTGCAGTATAACCCTCCCCAAACGCAATTTAAAAAGGCACTGCCCACACTAAATGGGCGGCCGTACGGTTTTTTTCGCCTCGTTTACGGCTCTCCCAGGAATGATGATAATGTGGTGGAGGTAGTAAGTAACCGGGCTTGGAGACTCCCGTTTTACACTCCTACGTCCGTTGTTGAGCGAATCGGAGTTGAGGAAAGTGGGACTGGAGTCCATCTTTTGGACAAGATTCTATCGTGGATATATATTCACACAGGAAGTGCTGGATTATTTTATTTACTGAGTAAGGGATTGTAGTTTCATTTGAGAAGTTAATTAAAATAAAATGGAACTACATCTGACAGCGCTTTTCAATCATGCAGGGAGCAGGACAGGTGGGGGGAAGGCATGAGGCAAGGCATTCGGTCATGGCGGTCAGGCCCGGATACCACCTCGTGGGGTGACGAGGTCTCTTTTATGGCCAACATTTTTTCTTTCTCCTCTTTCTGGCATTATGCTGGGACGGCAGGGGGCATAAAACAATGGTGACTTCATAAGTTAGTTTATAAAGACTAAAAAAAATCTCTCGGCTCACGTCTCCCTCGTCAGGAGATTCATTCAAGGTCAAAGGCAAAAAGCACATTTTTTGTCCAGAAATCCAATCCTTTTTTGCAAGAAGGGGTGAGGCTACCCCTTCCAATTGACATTTTAAGTGATTTTAAAGGCAACTCCTACATTTCTGTCTTGTGAAAGAATCTGAGCATTGACATGCTCCGTGTGCTCAATTGTCACCCAAAGAAATGTCTGCATGTCAAATCCAAAAAAGCTTTTTTGTTTAGGAAAAGTGTTTTTTTCGCTTTGAAGAAAGAAAGGGTGTAAATCTTCGACCTCGTAGGGAAAAACAGAGGATGGGGGATTGAGAACACCCCGATTATTTAGGCACCCAACGGTGGGAGTTACATTTAATCATGCCAACCGAATGACGCCTCCCGCATTTTATTTTCTGAAAGAAGGAATCAGTAAAATCAAGTAGACGCAGCTTTTTTGAAAATGGAAGGAAAAATTAAAGCTATAATTCTAGAAGGAGGGGCGGATTTTGATCCAAGTGGATGATCCGAAGGAAACGGCGAAATCAGCACTGCCCTATTGACAGTGACAAGTGGTGTTACCTTTTTGCAATAACATCAAGAGAATTTCACGGTAGGTGGAAACAAAATAATTATCCCCACGTCAACAAATTGTGCCTTTCTAACTCATTTTATGAGCACATTCAATGTGGTTACCACTGCTTCGACATCTCGGAGTCTGTAACCAATGAGACTCCCACTACCAACTTATCGCATAAAGGGTGGGGGAAAGGTTCAACCACCAAGGAGATTTGCTAAACCACATCCTTTTGGCGTTTTAAAAAGCATGTTTCCAAGTCCTAGTCTAGTTTATGAGAGCTTTTGTAACACCCGGTAGTTTGACTGTACTATTTAGGCGAGAGCCGGTGAGTAAATGCAAACCTCATGGCGAATCGGACGCCATCGGTCCCCGCCCACGAGGAGAAAACGTACTCCGGACACGCATAAGCGTGATACCTCTGACCCTTTTATTATCACCACTCAATTAAACATATCCTTGACTAACCGGTCTGCTCGTTCCACGGGTATGAAGACTGAGGAGTGGGGGAGAACCACGGAATGGACGAAAAGGTTGCTCGTCTTCTAATAAGTTATTCGGGATAACAAGCAACTCCAATGCATTTCTTACGATTTGAAAATCTTTAAACTGCCTAATTAATCACTTTTGGGAACCGGTTTGTCTAAGGAAGGGGGAGAACACCAGTCCTTCCTCTCCAAACAAAAAAAAAACGAAAATAAACTTTCCTAGGAAGTAACTTAATTACCGGTTTACAGGTTAAATTAGCGCAGGTCACACGTTTGTCTTAGCATCGGGGGAAAAATGTGGGTTGGGATGAAAGTCTCCTGTTCCATGAGGCCGAAATCTCTCACTGCTAATAATGTCAGGGCATTTAAAACTTGACCACCACATCTGAAGGCGAGCACAAGGTCAAGGTCACACTCGAGGACCAACAAATTAGCCAACAAATACGGGATTTCAAGTGGGAAAACAGAAAATTACTGTTCTATGCGAAAAATATACGAGAGAGGTATTTCAGAGTTTCTTATTCCCTAATTCTTCCCTCAAACTCTCCTACTTTGATAGGGGGGGGAAAAAGAACACAAGAGTAGTGAAGTCCCCGCACCAATGATTTGGTACAAAGATACCTACATGAGTACATCGTATTTCTTTTTTATAACAAAATAAGGACAAATTGGAGTATGACTAGGTACGTATGCTTTTGCAGTAAAAGGTTCTCTTAGAAGAGACGGCAAACTCGTGGTGGACACGCAATTCGGACGTTAAGTCGCCTCGATTTTGGGTCGGTGTAAACAAACGCAATTACAATTTATGGGATGGGTCTAAAAATGTCCTCATTTAAGGTGGTCTTGAGTGGTGGATAGGCAGACTGGACGGACCTTGTAATTAAGAGGGCGAGGAAGGGGAAAAATCCCCGATTCAGCCATCGTTTGTAAAGCCCTACACTCGCCCAGCACCGGGTGTCCTAGTTTATGAAGCCGGAGACAAAAGGGCAAGACAGTGAAAATATTGCGCTTAGTGCACAAGACCTCATGGTGGTAAAAGATTTACAAGCCACCAAATAAACTTACAACTTTGAAAAGCCAAGATACCACTTGGATCTCCCGAGCCTGCGATCTGATTGGCCACTTTTTAATACAAAAATCCAGTGGTATGAAAGTGTTTTTCCCCTTTTTTTCCTTATTTTATCTTTTAAAAAGAAAGGTCTAAAATATACCACAAAGTTTTTAGATTTAAATTTCTTAGAGAAAAGAAAATGACCAATGAAATGAGCAGTGATAATTAAGTGGTGAATCGCTGCTTCGATGCACTGCGCCGAGCGCCTTGGTCTCGACAGGCTGTATCTTTGTTCTGCGGTACGGTCCTTGGACTAGGCGAGTAGTCTCTCAGCCCTTCTGCATGGTATTACTACGTCTGCGCCCTCACTACTCTGACTTATTACGACTTCGAGGGAGACACGGGACGCTACAATAATTTTTAACCACCTGTCAGGCAGACAAAAACACAGTAAAAGGATAAGTTTGCGTGGTGTTAGTTAAAAAGTACTTTTCTTGGAAAAATACGTAAGGAACACGAGCGCATAAGTCACTTGAGATCATTAAAGAAGCGCACCATCTATGAGACAATAGTCAGAACTGTGGAGGCATTGAGAGGACAAAAAGTGGATGGACAGTAATGAATTGGGAGGAAAGTTTAGCGCCAAATAACCTGTACAATCGTGGTGATGGCAGAACTTTTTTCATGTGCATGTTTACAGCACTTTCTTTATAAGTAGAGATAAGTTGAGTGGTTAATTGTGTGGGCAGTCGAGGAGGCAGAAAACAAGAACGATGAGCTTCAAAACTGGCACCTCATTTCATGTAACACAAGTCCGACCGTGTTTCTTAGCTGCTATTCAGCAGATTACACTCAGACGTTGACTGACTACTGGACTGAAGTCCTCAAAAAAGTACGAAATGAAGAGCGAAGTTCTCCCATTTAAGCTACTTTTTTGAACAAAGAAAAAATGCGAAGCATTCAATCAGCTAATTCTTGTGTGATCAAGCGCAAAGCGTTGAGACAGGCAAGAGGCCTTTCAGACAATGCATTTTAGATTTCCAGGTTTAGTGGGCTTTTTTAAAGATTTATCTTAAAGCCGATAAAATCGCCACCACGATCTTATTGTGTTCTTTTTTTAGCCACCTAGTGCCACGGATACAAAAAGCATTCAAAGTTGGTGATAACTGCACAAAAAAATAGTCTAAAAAAGGCAAAAGAGCGTTAAAGTTTGAAATTTTGTGAAATTTTTGTTGGAAATAAAAGCATTACTAAATGGAGAAAGTGAGTTACGCACCCAGTCCATGAGATAGAACAAAGCAAGAAACCAGGAACTGCATAATCGACTGCTAATTTTGTTTTATGGGCCGAATAGAGGGGAAATAGTTTCTTCTCTCCATATGCTTGCTCTGCAATAAAGTGCAAGTGGATTTTTCCGCACAATTATGCAGGTTTATTGCGTTGAGGTGGACAAAGCAGATGTCCAATTTTAAGTCAATATTTTGTGATAAAATGAAAGAAAAGAAAATGTTTAAGTGGTTTTAAAAAAATTCGGAGGATAAACAACTCATTTTACAGTAATTCTTTATCAAGAGGTCAAATGAAATATATTTTGAAATCCACAGAGTCAATTACTTGAGCAAAATGAAAAATCCACTAAAGTCAAATTTTCTCTGGTAAAATAAAATAAAAGTACACATAAAAACAAGCACGCGTATTTCAAAAAGGTAAAAATTGGTAATTCGGTTTACAAAGGATCACTTAGAAAAAGAGGACAATAGATCTCCAGCTTGATTTTCTTAAATACCTTAAATAAGCTATTTGTACTTCACAATACACTGTAACTTATTTAACTTCCAAGACTCGTAAAGCGTGTCAAGCGAAACTTTTAAACATGAAACCACAAGTTAAAGGGAACACACGAACCTGCAAAGTAGTAACACGGCTGATTCGTGACCACGGCAAACGAATGAGACAGAGGGACGAGTCGGGAGAAATTCGTGCGGCAACGGAGTCGGGTGAATACTTTACAGACTGCCGACCGAAGGTGCCCAAAAACTTGTGGATGTGAAGATCCACGATGCCGAACTGGGTTATGAGATTCCTTGCCAAGTGGACGATTGCCAAACCGTTGCGAGTGCACAAAATGGATTTGAAGTGAAGGTTTTGCACCGAGGATAGATGTGCCGGTATATGGTTATACTCAAAATGTTCTGCGAGTTTAGAATACTTGTTGTGCTTGTGAAAGGGGAAGGTTCCTCGGCGTTTACTCAGATTGACAATGTTTTGCTTGCTAAGACAGAAGGCGTTGGTGCACTCTGTAGGTTTGCTATATGGACATTTCATAGTACTGCTGCTGAAGTTATAAAAAGCTAAAGAGGTAAAACTTAAAATCTGTTTTACCGCTGTATTTCTTCCTCCAGGCCTCCAATGAACAACTTTGTACGAGTGTCCACGGTCGTCCAGTCACCCGAGAGAATGGATGTAAAAATTGATCCGTATGACGTTGTGAGTCAACAAGTTTGCTTTCCTCAACACCCATTTCAAATGTAACAAACAAGGCTTCGTAAAAACCACAACGTAAGGGTAATCATGAGGGCGCCCGCACCTTTGAATGGTGCGTAAATTACAAACTTATTAAGATAGAGCGACAAAACAAACAACGGAAAGACTCAAAAAGCACTTTACTCAAAACACAGCATTGCACCCCAAAAATCGTGGTTTTCTATTTATTTAGCTTTCAATCAGGTTCATTTAAAGTCATTTGGGCTCTTGACTAAAGTATACCTGGAGAATTTTGCAGAGAGTTAATAAAGCAAGCCCTCTGACACCAAAGTGCTCTAAAACAGGCAAACCTCCTTAACGTTTGGGTGTTACTCGCGTTTACACTTGTCTTTTCAATTTATGCTCTGTAGAAACTTACAGCATATTTAAAATATAAGACTTGCCTAACTCTATTAACACTGCACTTGGCAAAAAACCTAAAAACGCTTTTTCAATTGATATATATTTGTTAATCAACCCTTGGTTTTAATGAAAAGCTACCTTTTCCCGTCCATTGTAAATCACTGGGTTGCTGGCCTCCTAACCATGCTGGTAACCAAAAGCTTTTATTTGCCGAGTACATATATTTTTTTTCCCGAGTTGTATGTAATACGATAGTGGTTTGTCCCTAGGTTCTGGTGAGGCGCCACTTTTGTACTTTGAACTAGCCCCCTTGTGCCTCGCTGGGTGGGCTGGCCTTTTGGGCCATGCCACTAGCCCAGACACCTCCTCTGTGCTAAATATATGTATTCTCCCCAAGTATTGTGTCTTCTTTCGTCTTCAGGGAGTCTCGGGACGCTACAGTATGTCTTCTTTACCTCTAGAAAAGACTTAAAGCACTGCACAACATCTGTTGAAAACTCCTTTTATAGACTTTTGGGTTCATTTTTATTTCATTTCGCGAGACAATCTTAAAAGGACAATGTCGTGCCATGAATTAAATAAACCCGTCCCAACCGCACAAAGCAACCTTAGCAGCTCCCAGTGGTTAATAGCCGTGAGTGTCATTTTAAAGGTTCTGAATTTACCAACCATACACAAATTATTCGATGTCCCGCTTACGCTAGAAATGACTTACTCAATAGCTAATTTCTTCTCGCTTATAATGTGAACGTTCTCCTACGGAAGAACAAGTGCTTTAACATGTTGATAAAAGCTTTTTGACGACTTATGCTCCAAGAAATCTTTCGGTAGAAGTTGTGGTTTTCTAAAGCAGTTTCAAAATAATAATTTTGATTCAATAAAACAGAGCGCCGCTTTGAGTGTCTCACGTATCTTAAACTCAAAAATGGGCATCTGTTTAACTTGTTAAGTATGTGATGCATAGGGCGAATATCGGATTAGACACCTCTAGCTCTAAAGCATAAGTAAACTCTGCCATATTGGGCACTTGCCCTTCAGAGTATCACCCGTTTGGTTAGTGCGTTCTTAAAGGACTGTTAGTCATCTATTGGTATCGTTTAAAATCAGGTGGCTTTTGCTTGGATTTTTGTATCAAGATACCAAAATACTTTTAAGATGTAAATGACTTTATGCTATAGTTACATCATTGTGCTGACTTAGATGTTTCGATTGTGCTTTTTCTAAATAGGCCCATAACGTCAAAATTTAGCACAAACTTGTTTTTAGAAAAAGGTAGTCCTAATAACCTTCTGAAACGCTTCTTCTTTATTTGTGCTTTTTTTGCATCCACCAATAATTTGCACTAAATTACGAACACTTGGTGGAGAGCCACTTTAGCCTGCTTTTTCGTACTCGCTGCCATTCTGACCTTGCTGCAAAAATGAGTATTGGTGCAATTCCAACTGCAATGATCCCTCCAGCTGCTCCTGGTGTACCTGGACATACTGCTGGTATGGCATCAACAGCACCCATTCTGCCTCCAAATCACACCATTTATATTAATAATCTTAATGAAAAGATTAAAACTGACGAGTTGAAGAAATCCCTTTATGCGGTTTTCGTTCAGTTTGGACAGATCCTCGACATCATTACGGGTAAGCTGGCTTTAGAACATGAAGCCTCTGTGGTTTTTTGGGGGTTCACCTAGTGTTTTCTCTTCTAGGTAAGTCTGTAAAGATGCGAGGTCAGGCGTTTGTTGTCTTCTCCGAAATTAGTTCCGCTCGTAGCGCTCTCGAGGCAATGCGTGGTTTTCCACTCTATGAGAAGCCTATGTGCATAAATTTTGCTCGCACTACCTCCGATATCATCGCCAAACGCGAAGGGACTTACGTTGAACGTCCTAAGCGTCAGCCGCCGCCGCCACCACTTCCACAACCGACGCAGCAACAAAATTCTACAATCGATGCAGCTGCGCTGATCGGCGGTGGCAGTGCACGTGCTATCCGCCGTCGGCAGCAACGTCTCGCCGCTGCTCAGGCCGCTGCTTTGGCAGCAGAAAACGGTGGTTCAGCAGCCGGGGGACCTTCTCCATCACCGCAGTCGTTGTCAACTTCTGCATCGCAGTCTCATCCACCGCCCATAAACCCGGCCACCATTCCCGACCAGCCGCCAAACAAAATCCTCTTCCTCACTAATCTTCCAGAGGATGCCAATGAAGCCATGTTGGGCATGCTTTTCGCGCCGTTTGTCGGTTTCCGGGAAATCAGAATGGTCCCTTCTCGTCACGACATCGCCTTTGTAGAGTTCTCCAGTGAAACGGAAGCCGCCACGGCTAAACATGGTCTTCAGGGCTTTAACATTCGCCCCGGTCATCCGCTGCGAATCACTTTTGCAAAGAAGTGACTGTCGTTTAATCTGTGCTCCCGTTTTATTATTAATAAAGCGTTCTCCCTTTAACTGTCTCTCTCGTATTATATTCTCTTTTGAGAGCTGTGTTTTACCTTACGGACCATGGTTGTTGTTACAATTTTTAAGGTGATGGATATCCGCCCAAATCACACTCTTTACGTGAACAACCTGAACGATAAGATGAAGAAAGCGGACTTGAAGAGGGCTCTTTACTACCTCTTCTCGCCTTACGGACGCGTTCTGGAGATAATTGCAATGAAGACGCCTAAAATGCGAGGACAGGCTTTCATCATCTTCCAGGCTATCACCTCGGCTACTACGGCGTTAAGGGTGCTACAAGGATTCCAACTCTTTGACAAGGTGATTTGTCTCCCTCCCGATGGAGCTTTTTTAAATCGGGCTGATCTGTGGGCGTTCTTATCACTTTTTTTTTATTTTTAAAACGATTGGTGAGGACCGTTTTTCGATGCGGTGATAAGCTGGCTTGAAGAATTTTAAAAACGGTTTCCACCGTGTACGTTCTTTGGAGTTTTTACTTTCCATCTTCCCTGTTATGTTTTGCTCGATGTCAAGGGTGTCTTTATTGAGCTATTTTAGTGCGTTACTGTTCCGATTTTCATTTAAATAGCGAATAAGTTCAAAGAGCCGGAGGCGAACTCACATTTGAGTAGTTACAGCTATGTGTTGTCCAGCGATTGAGGCAACAATTATATCGGTAAATTTGATGTCATCCCGGCACCTTTTTAAAATATCTCTTCGTGTTAGTCTATTATCCCACTGCAAAGATTCCCCATTTTTAATTGATGCTTGATTCTTCCATTATTCACTTGCTCTTAATCTCGCTCGGCTTCTTAACTCTGCTTCTCCTCGACGCTCAACGGCGATTCCATTATATGAAAATCAACTCAGTTCAGATTTGCTAAACCTCATGCCATCAAAGGGTTTGAAATGAATCTTTAAGTACACAGTGCTATATTTTGAAAAGAAGTAAATTCTATTAGTTCTTGATTCACTTTATCCTTAGTTATCTATCCTAAAATCTCATTCATCTTACCCCCTCCACATAGCCCATGCGGATCCAGTACGCGCGGAAGAACTCGACGCAAATCGAGGTGTTGCAGGGTGTGAATGCGGAGACCCAGAAGAAGAAGGAGGAGGAGCGGGAGAAACGGCGCAGAAGGAAGTTGGCTCAACGACAGGCCGCTGCTGCTGCCGCCGCTGCAGCTGGTGCTGCTGGTGCCGTCGTCAACGGGCAAGTTGGGGTAAGCCATCCACTCATTCAAAACTCAATCAACAGTTTGCTGATGCTCTTTTTTCAAGCCGGAATTTCATGCGATCTTACTTTGGTATGCGTTTTGGTTTCCATTCACCGAACTGATGAAATCTTTGGTATCTTGTTTCGTGAGGTGGCATTTTCAAAAGTCGCTGTTTTTGTTTAATGACACAGATATTCTTGGAGACCTGTAATTGAACCCAAGGTAACTTTAAAATCTTCAAGCTTCATTGGATGCGAATAGTGTTCTCTCAAATGTCATGCATTGTGAATAAAGAATAAGATACAAAATCATCTCTATTGTATGGTTAGGGATCGGTTATGGTGTTGTAAAGAGGCCGTGCCAATTTCGCAGATACAGGGTGCCTTGGGCGTCCTGGTTGGCTTCGTTCAGGACCTCTATAAATGGATGCTAAAAGGGTTATAGTGGAGGAAGTTTCAGAGAGACTGGCTATTTTGTGTCTGCTCAAGTCCTGCTTCTTGGCGGCCTATTCTTCAGTAGTGTGCCGACAGCTGAGGATTGAGGGATGTGCCAACCATCTGCAGCAAGTAGTCGCACAGATGCTGAAATTGGATTTCAAAACGGCAATAAATCCTACCATTATTGGTTCTAAATCTGCACGCTTTGTTTTCCACAAAATTAAGCGATCCCGCCTACTCTGGTGTTAGGGTGTTGTCTTTAGAATGTCCTACCTACAGATCACCTAGTAGCCGGTGTATTTCCCTTTCAGGCTGATGGTGAAATCGACACCGAGCCACCGAATCGTGTGCTCTTTGTCAGCAACCTACCCGAGGAGACTACTGACGCAATGCTGACGATGCTCTTCAACCAATTCAGCGGTTTCAAGGAGGCTCGTCGAGCCGTGGGTGGAATCGGTTTTGTAGAGTACGAGACGGAGGCCCAGGCGACGGCCGCGAAGGTGACCTACCACGGCTTCAAACTGACGCGTACCCATGCCATCAGCGTCACCTATGCCAAGCACTGACGTTGGTCCACCATTGAGTTGTAATAACTTTGCCTTTATGTACAGTCCTGTGTATGAATTCTTATGCCATAAAGGGCCCTCTTTCCTACTCTTAGAATGTGTGTCTAAGGACAATTTAAATGGATGAATTTTAGTTCTTGCATCTAGCTCTAAATTGGCTGGTGAAATTCCTTTTTCCGGTGCTTGTTTCAAGGTTTTCTAAATGGTGGAATTTGATTGGTGGATCATTGGAAAGCTCAACATTTCATCTGACGTATTTGTATCCTCAATTTGTCGCGAGCACGTTGATGTCTTTTTTTTGTCCGCCATGACGGAGGCATTGTTGAATTGGGTAAGAGTTTTTGTTTTCTATCTCGACTTTTCGACTCAAATCAGTGTTTGGTATTTGAGAGTGCTGATTTGAGCGACCTTGTCATCTATGGCTTGGGTGAGCATTAGTTCCTGCTACGAGAATTTAGTGTGGGAACCGTGGGTGCTCAAGTCGACCTGAGGCGTTTGGTTTTTGCTACCAAAAGTGTGTCAAGCTGCAATTTCCAATCGCCATCAAGTATATTGTGGGTAACTGCCGTTCGGCCTGGATCCTGTTAATCGAGATTGCAGGAGTTCGTGTCATTAGGTGTCAAAGCGACAGCGAAGATATCAAATTCCAACTCGGTGGCAGCCAGCTTAGTTGTGCGGCGTTTGAATGGCATAAGCTTTTCAAGAACGGCCTTCAGCGACGACCACGATCTTGATGTTTTCTTGCCTACCCATGGAGTCCCTGATTAGCACAAACCTCCTGCGAACCGTGGATTGGATGTCATGTCGCTCTTGTCCGATGGCTAGGGGTTGATCCAAGAGCCCCTTCTGATCACAATGTAGCTGGCAGGGAATCTAAAATCGCTGACATGTTTCTATGCCTTTCCTGGAAAGTGTCTTCGGAGCTTTTGCATGGAGCATATTTCCTTACGTTCCTGGTTTTCTCAGCTGATGAAGGTGACGACAGATTGCTGCCCTTGACATGGCAGTGTCGACTTACATTAATGATTGGAGGCAATTCTTCATTTTCATCAGGCGTGAAGAGGTCTTCTTGAAAGTGAGGCATCCATCTTGAGGTGATTCGTCACCATCTCCGAGTGGTGCGCTCTACTACCTCCACATCACCAGTTTTGATTTGGTTTTAGCAGGGCCATGTGTCTCAATCGTTCATTCATTTGTTCTTGACTCATTTTCGATCCATGTATTTACACAGCCATCCACCCTGTATCCATGCCTCCTCCAGTCGGTACCCATCCCATATCTCTTTTTCCATTCCACATCCATCCTTCCATTGAAATAGATGTGGAGCCGTGGTGAGGGGGTAACTCGTTCGTTTATTCATGATTCATTCGTTCTATGAGTTATTTCGGATTCATTTCTTTGTTCATTTTTTCACTCGTCTTCATTCCTTCATTAATTTTTCATAACTTCTCAATGTCTGCAACGAGTCCACGAATTGACTGGCCAATTTTTGCCCCGAACTTTGCCTTCCAAACTGACAAATTTACGGGGGAACTTTTAGGTATGTTTCCCTTTCCTGTGTTGTTGTGATTGACTCCGTTTCTCGTGTCACTTTACGATGACAGGTAAACTAGGCGGATAATCCACGCCAGTCGCATTTTACAAGCATTTTTTTCGTAAATTTTAGTATAAGGGAAGAAAAGCCAAATTTAGTCACCGTTGTCATTTTTAGTGACATGCGAGTCGATTGTTGTCGTGTAATGGGCGGTCACATCCTATCGCACCGCAAACAGATTCGGCATTGTAAAACCAAGAAAGGCACTCCTTACTTTTTGTGGAACAGCTAAGCCCGTCAGTTCATTGTTGGTGACAGAGTTGAATAGTGGATCATTTGGGCCTTGGGGGTGGGGGAGGGGGGCAGTTGATCCTCCCGCTCCCCGAGCCCATTTAAGTAGTAAGGGTTCCACAGCCTAAAGCAACTTTTTATTTGTGTACTTCTCTTTCCTTTATTTAATAGAAATTAGGTTTTCATGCCGCTTGGTTATTTTTTCCCTGCAACGAGTTGTCAAAGGAGGGTATTTTAGCAACACCCCTTTGTGGGTTGCCTTCTATAACATTGAAATTGGTTTTGTTTTTTTTTCTTTTAACGACGAACTGTCGTTTAACCCGTCTAACCTCATCCTCTGGTAGCTGTCAATTTGACCACCAAGTGATCAAACACCCACTTGGCGATTGCATTTTGGGACGATCTCTTCTTCTCCTCCGAGGTCATGACTCCAAGTACGTGGTGCTCGAATCCTCTTTGAAGGTGACAGACGATGGATGGGAGAGCGAGAGACTCCATGTGGTTGTGCGTACCTACATTCGATTGAATACAACTGACAGTCCTGACATGCATGACGTGTGGATTGTGACAGGAGTAGCTGAAAGCACACGTAATTGCGCTGACACAACAACTTACTTACCTTGTCTGTCTGTAATACCAATGCCAAAAATTGGAGTTTCCAGGTTTGTGAAGTCGCATCGGACTTCCATTGGACGAAGGCTTCAGCAGGGATATCTCCATTGACCGAGGTGCAACGTGAGCGTGCAAGCGGACCGAGTCCGAGTCCCTTTATCGTCTGACTGACCTTGGCCCCCGGGGTGAATAGTGTCACGAGACACTAAGGTGCCTCTATGAAGCAAGCAAGGAATCAGGAGGGCGTGAGTAAGAGCACAATCATTTCTAATGTTTGGAGAGTGGCAATCAGTGGAAATTGCTGGAGACTCGAGCAGGGAACCATAGCAAGAAGCAACTTCAGTGGAGGAAATACGCTTTCCGATTCATCAAACCTTTCAATTCGCATTTCAAATGCGCAGAATAACAATCTGTCAAACACACGACTGAGGAATTGATGGTGACTTTTGCGACTAAATTACTACACATTGGCGTATGAAGAGCATCCAGCTTGAATAATGGCAAATGGAATGACGAAATATCCTTGAATGGCCAGAAATTGAAGGAAGGACACTTGCAGGGGTCGTTTAATTAAAACCGGAACTCTGGGTACTTTACAAGTCTGACAGCTGCAGTCTTTATTCGTCGGTTTGGTACGCTATCATCTGGAAAACCTAGAACACACACGGATTTCCCATCATCTCTGAATTAGTCTTATTCTGCAATAGTTTGCTTCATTTACTCTCCCTCGGCAACCACCACGTGCTAACGTCCCGATGGCAGGAAGACTCGTGAACTCCTCTATCCAGGACAAGTTGCACGTAGGTGAACGGTGTAGGAGGAGGAGGCGGAAGAAGGGCAGGTTACTTCTTGAATGTTTCCAGAAATGATTGCTGTGCTGTCGACTTGAAAGTCGATACACCCAGACTTACAGCAGGTGGACGTGTGGCCGATTACTTCCATCCGTTAACAATATTACACTGCCCTACCGTACAGCCGAGCGTGCTACCCCCGCACCATTTCATGTCCTGCTGTGCTGTGCCTTGTTGCATTTATAGACAGTCTGGTGCCTCATGTCTGGATTGGAGGAGATTGGATTGAACTAGATTGCACTGCACCACACTGAAATGAGACGGAGTGGTGCGGAGTGATGCAAGGTGAAGTTACATAGGGTGTGGTGGCTTCTGCAACTCGCAATGGGGCACTTGGGCGGACCACCTGCCACCGTTTTGGGCAGGTGCCTGAATACGAAGCCCCTGTTTAGTTTGAACGTCCTTTTGTTAACATCCACTATCAAATGTGGAGGGATTAATTATTTGACGTGAGGAATGTGCTGTGGAAGAACTGGCTTTATGTCAATTTAGTTTTTTTGCCACCCATTCGGTCGTCTCGAATCCCATTTAGCCAATCCGCCATTACCCGCACAATGCAGGCTGATAATGTAGGTTGCGTTTCAGAAAAGATTACACAAACACTTTCTTAGTAAACCAATGTAGTTTAATTGTGCTATTTTTTTCTCCAGTTTATCCGTGTTTCAATCGTGGGATGCTTGGCCCTCATGGCTGTTACGATGCCAGGAATTGGTATTGCTCATATGGATTCACCTCAGCAGCAGTGTAATGTCACAAAAAGCTGCACTTTTCACTCATTCCCTTACTCACTAGAAGACCTTGTCACGATTCAAGGCCGTGTATCTTTCACCATCGCACTTCATGCCCCACTTTCCCGACTGCTCGTAGCTTTTCTCAATACGGTAACACTTTTTACGTTGGTCACTGTTTTTGTGGAAGCGTTGATATGGCTGCGACTTGCTGATACTTATCTTTCCTGTTTTCCATTGTTTTGACAGAAAAATTGGCGGTTCTGATCCCATAATGCCCGTTTTTGCTCGGGGACTTGCAAGTGGCTGTCTACTGATCTGTTTATAAGTAGCATGAGGCGGCACTGTGTCACTGGCTATATAAGACCACGCTATCAGAAATGGTTTCCCAAAAGTAGCTTTCTTCTACATTGACGGAAGAGTCGTGGGGTTTTCAGCATAGAAATGATAGGAGCAAGGCTCAGCAACGTGTTAGCCGAAATGAAAATATTCACCTAATCAAGTATCTCTCCGATATTTTATTTTAGCTTTCGTAAATTTCTCTTGCTATGAGTTAGGTTGTCTGCACTAAAATTCACTTTATTTTAGACCATTTAATGCTTATATAATGCTGGTCTCTGTTTTCATCTTTCCATTGATGAACTGACCTTTTTTTCAGTGTGGCAAATCCCTCTTTGTGCAAAAGCACTTTTGAAAGTCTTTAGAGGCATAAACTGCTACACACAACACAAGTGACGTAAGTTGAACTGGTTTCATTATATCTCTTTCAGTCAAGCGTTAAAAAGTAATCGGTAAGTGAGGCTGAGCGCAGTACCATTGATGTGGGCCACACTAACCTTGAGAAGTAGCGTGACCCAACGGCGTGTATCGCAACCTCCCCTACTGCTGTAATTGTGTCTTCAAATGGTTTAAAAGCTTTTAAATAACTGCCAAAATGTTAGTTTGATCATTTGAAAATACATACTTAGACCAATCACTGATTGACTCTTTTGCCGTCAAGTTTATTTCTACCTACCTTGTTTGTAGTTCAAGTCAAGCTGTACTTTAATGACTTGCATATAAGAGAAGAATTTCCGTTGTGTTTAGTAGATTTATTATGTTTCATAATGCAACAGGCCTATCAAATAAAAATAAGTTGGATTACACAACAAAATCTTAGCAGACGTGAATGCACAAACTAGCTTCGGTCACTTTCTCCCGCTCTCTCGCTCTGTGTCTGTATCTGTCTTATGTTTTCGTTGTGCATTTAAATCCAAACTTAAAAATGACTGCAGCATTACAAAGCACTCATCCGCTTGCAAGTAAATAGTGATTAAGTCAATTTGTTCATTAGTGAGAAGTAGATTACTTGGAAGTGTCGGAATGACTCAGGAGGATAAATTCTTTTACTCATCCAGTGCTCATAATGCATTTAAGGTATCGAATACACTTCTTTTTGTCTTTTACTATATCTTTCCTTGTTGACTGAATACCAAAGTGATTGAAGGTGTTTGAAATAATCAATCTAAAGGTTGTATCAACAGAATAAAAGTGCGGGAGCAGTGAAAACGTTGTCGAGGCCTTAAAAAGTGACAAAGAGAAGAAGATATTATTTGCATCCTTTTTAAATTTTTTAGTTAAATGTCTTGGTAAATTTTTGTTTATTGTTGGAAGGAGTTCACTCTTTCCCCGACTAAAATTGTCTTTAGAAATTTGATTTTTTGCCAAGACATCACTGAATCACTTTTTACGAAGGTTGGGAATGTATTGTTTTGGTTTATTTTTGTGTTGGCTGCTTAATTGTAGGGGATTTTTGGCCCACCCTAAGGATGAGGCACTTCGGCGACATTTACATCCTTTTAGTATTTCCCTATGTTCAAATTTACTGGCTCTTTCGCACTGATGTGGCTTATTACAGCTATTAAGGTGGCTCAAGATGCTATTACGTAAAAAACTGTGGAGCACAGGTCAACTTTGAATGTGTTCTATGATATCCAAATACTGTAACATTTCCATCAACATGATCACTGCCGAGCAAAGTGTAAATGTTTTAGTGGATCATCGTGAATAACATGCAAGTTAGACCCCGATTTTAACGTTTTTACAAGTCTTTGTTGCAGCATTTGCAGAGTGAATGCTGCTTTTAGTCGCACCAATGCCTGGAAAATCCAGGTACAATCAGTTTTCCCACTATGCTTGAGTCACCCTCCTCTATGACATCCCGCTTCACTTCGCCTCCCAGGAATATTCTTAATCTGCTCTGCTTAACCTTATCACTGTACAACGAGTTTCACATTGGTTGAGATTCTGGCAGGAGGAGTTGACCTACCAAATGTTTACAGGCATGACTGCTGTCCTATCGCAGCATAAATCGAAATATCCAGACTTGTAACAAATGGATGTGTAATTGCCTGTCCTAGTCATGACAATTATATGCCTGTCTTACTTTTGAGCGACTGTGCGGCCTACCATTCCATCGTCGTACACTATCGCAGCGTACCCTATCGTATTGTGGTGAATCGGTTCAGCCATGCCGTGGCATGCTGCATTTAAAGTCTGTTGTGGATGAGTTATTTAGGTGACATTTTACACCTTTATTCTCGCTAATAGGAAAGGCAGTGAATCAGTGCAGCTTGCACATACTCGTTACCACTGATGGTTGTCATCTGAATCAAAGGTGTCGGATGACTGGTGTCTGGAGTGAGTTGAAATGGACTGCACTACGCAGTGTAAAATTAAGTGGAGTTTTAAGCAACTTGAAGTGAAGAGTGGTAGGGTGCAGTGGCCTACCACTGTGCCTCCCACCCCCTCGGACAGATGGTGATTGTTAAGTTCCGGATTCTTTTAAACGCCAATCCTTTGAATTTCGGCTATCATTAGTGAAGGGATTATTTATTCTACAGGTGATGGGGTCGTTTTAAATCCTCTTTAACCCATTTGGATCTCGCTTTACCACCACACTGCACATCACCTGCTCTCCCTCTACCTACTCACTCACCCGTGAGAGTTTTTTTCTCTAGAATGTGTAGGAGATATAGCCTCGTTCTTTTCTACATCCTTGATTGTTTTTTTGTCTTCCCCTAGACAATTAAAACCCCTTATAGTCACCAGACAGTTGCGAGCGGAACAAAAACTACATTCGGAATGAAAAATGTGGTTGATTTGAGACCGAGATTTGCTCCTAGTCCATTTCTCTCGGGCAGTGACTCATGTCAGCTCTCTGTCTCATCGTTTCCATCGTCTTCTCTTCCAGCGACTCTCAATGGAATTTGATGGTGTCTGTGTGACTTCAAGCCCCTTGACATCGAACTGATCGAGTGTGAAGACGACACTGACGCCAAACTCAATCAAATTAGGTCCTAGGCATGATTTGTTCCAGGCTATCACGAGTAACCAGCATGATCCCACCTGTCAAAGAGGTTGGTGACACGTGTGCCGTTTGGCAGGTCTATTCTAGCTCTCATTTCACTACTCTCCCATTTAATTGTCTTTTCTAAAAAGTTTTGTGTAAAAAAAGTAAAATGGTGTAGTTGTTTTGTCCACTTCAGATTTATAAACGGACGTCTGGCTTTTGATTCTTCTAGTATTTAAGCTCCTCATTCCCAAAGTAGTTATTTCTCATGACTCAACTCGGGTCCGATTGCAGTGTATGATGGTTGTAGACGCTCTTTAATAATAAATTCTTGTGGATAATGAATCAAGTCAGCGTTTATTTTATTTTTGAGGAGGAAATTTACCGGATTTGGATGAACTTGAGTCCAAAGAGGCAAACCTATTTTGATAGAACTTATTTGTAATGCTCTCTACACTGATGAAGAGATTTAAAATGAGACATGAAGATGCGTGTTTAAGGTTGCATCTCACCAACACCATAGCGTCTTCCCTCTGCCCATAGCGCCCCGCTCCGTAGGTTAGTTTAGCGCAGGCTGATCTAATACAAATACGGGTCCAAAGAGGATGTCCACCCTCCAAGGACAAGATCAGCCCTTTGTCAAACCAAACATTTCAATGAGAAATAAGATGCTACTTTCTGTTTATCTCTACGTGTGCGCCTGATTGCGCGGGTACTTAAGATTCCGCAGGCCACACTTCCACTCTGCGGTGCGGTCTTCGGGGCATTCCAGTAGTCCCGCAGCCCGCCTTCACACTTCGCCTTAAGAGCTGGTTCCAAATTCACTTTTGATTATTCGAGCCTAAAAACTTCTTTTTACCCTGACGTGCAATCTTTGAATCCAGACAGATAAGTCGCAGCCAGCAAAACATAAAAACGGTGGAAAATTGAAATCCCAGTTTGTTTTTTTATGCAGAATATTCAGGCAGACGTCGGTTTTTTCCTATGGAGAAAAAAATTACTGTCAGATGATTGAAGGAGAACATTGTGACAGTGCTTTGTGCACCTCATCACCAGTGGAGGAGCAATCACAGAGCATAGAAAAATAGGCAGAAAATTTACATGAGAAGTCTGAAAGTATCTCTCATTAAAACACCTCAGTGAAAGCGAGTTTTAACAGCTTAAAATTAGCATTTTTTTATGGCGGAGGGGAGGACTTTGATTAATTCACCTTGCAATAGTGTGTTGTTGAATTTCCTTCTTTTTAATTAACGGCTTTCAAACTTCCGTGGTATTCATTCGTTAATAAACATCTCTCCTCGTACTGTTTGACAAGCCTATGAGCTAGCAACTTGTTTAACCTTGACGCCTTTTTGGGTGGCGCTTAACACCATTTCCGAAACCTGGAGGGGGCGTTCTGTCTGCTTCGAACCTTAATTGAAATCCGAATCCTTACATATATGTTCGCACTTATCAATCTAACTTACATCTTTTGTTGTTATCGTGGTTTAGTGAAAAGCGAGGCGTTTGAGGGGGCGGAGGAAGATCCTAACGCCCATACCTTCTCATTCACTAGATGATGCAATAAACCTGAACGCGTCATGAGACAACCCAAACACTGTTTTGCGTTTGAATCTATGTTAACATCTCCCTAATTGAGAAGAATTTCGAATTGTGGTGCTTTGTTAATACAGTCTCCAATGTACCTGTCTCCAGCCCACTTGCCTCCTCAAAATAAGCGCTTTTTAAAATCGTCTCTAGTTGGTTTATATGTGAGGTTGGTAGCGATATAGGTAACTAAAAAAAAAGATCCAGAAAAGCCTCTTTTATTGAGTTGAAGCTAATGTTTTAGTGGCTGGCAGTTATTTGGAGGTAAAAGTAATGAACGAATAAAGGTACCGAAGCAGTAGTGCAGGAGGTCTGGTGATTCTCTCTTCCGCCTCAGCCTTCATACCCCTTGGCACAAGCAGACAGATTAGACGAGGACTCATTTTTACTTGTTGTAAAAACGGGTTCAGGGGACCGCGGTTGCATAAAATTTATAGTTTACTCTGTCCTCAGAGGCCAGTTGCGTCCGCTCAGTCACGAGGATTGTATGTACTGACCGCTTCTCGCCTCACAGGCATACTCAGTAGTGCGATTTAGCAGATATTTTTCTTACTTTGAAAGACTTACTACCAGCATTACATGAGCCCCTTATTACACTCTCTCACACATGTCCTTACCAAACCGGTTGGTTAAGGTTGTTTGGATAGGTGTAGGGTGTTAGCGGCCTGAACCAAAAACCGCTGCTTGTGAAGACCTTGACCGCTGCAACTTCAAATGGAACAGGTCTTCTGTAAACTTTAACTGCCAACTTTCCTTTGGGCTTGCATCAGTGAACGCAGTAAAATGGTTGGTATTGTAGACACGTGGGAGGAATTCTCGCCCCTGAAACGGAAGGAGAGTTAGAAGCTATAACAGGGCTTTCCAGCTGCACTCTAAGCGTCGAGCAAGCACCGCCACTCATCTTCGAGCTGGCTCTAACTGACGGCGGCAAGAGGGAGGGATTCTTGATTGACCTTATTTGGGATTTGCAGTCCTACCTTCAGCGTGTTGGAGTGTTACAAAGTCGTGATTTTGCACAAACCCTCAATTGCTTCAACCACATAAAGCGAATTTTGACCGCTACCTTTAACATTCTATGCAATGCAAGAAAATCTACCGATGCATTTTGCTGACACTCATGAGGATCTGTTGAGCCAGGCTTTTCAAATCTTTGAATCTACGATACCCCACCACATTCGCCGACACCGAAGACTCAGTTTTGCTCTCCTTTGTGACTCACCCAAACCTCCGGCGATCTCTCTACTACCCAGTTCATTCAGCCTG